TATTCCTGGAATCAGCTTAGTTGCCGTTCCCTGAACCTTTTCCAATAGTTCACTGTCTTTTTAGGCGTGGGCTAGCTGCTTGGCTAGCGATGACACCTAAGTCATTGTGTCTCAACAACATGTGGCTCAGTTTTATTCATCGTGTATGTATCTGTAACTTGATGACCGATATGCACCATAATACACCTGGAAGTTTCTGTCGGCAACTACTGGGTTTGATACCATTCAGGTAATTTCTCCAGTTCATTTTGCAGTTCTAAGTTATCACCCTTACTTCATACCGCTCTCCATACCTTGACATCGTCAGCATATAGCAAAACCGATGGTGATAGCAGACGAGGAAGGTCATTTACATACAAGAGGAAAAGCACTGGCCCCAAAGCTGTACCCTAGGACACTTCACTAAGCACAGTTTCCCAGCTAGATAACTTTGAGTTCAGCCGAACTCTTTGTTGACGCTCAACTAAGAAGTCTTTTATCCACATCAATATATTGCCTCCAACCCCGACATTTCTTAATCTATATAACAGCCGGTTGTGCGGAACCTTGTCAAAAGCTATGCTGAAGTCAACGTAGGTTACATCTCCAGGTTTCTTTTTTTTCTTAAGAGCTCACCAGCTTTCACGAGCCACTAATAATTTAGGGAGGCAAGAATAACCTATTCTGAAATCATGCTGTATTTACGAAAGGATCCGGTTTTCGTCAAGATACTTAAACAGCTCCTTCCGTATAATCTTTTTTATGATTTTAACAATCACATCAGTTAACCTCACGGGCCGGTAATCCCCAGATTTTTGTTTCGTAACTGTTTTTAAGACAAGACTTACTGTGGCGTTCTCCCAGACTTTTGGTGAACGACCCTGGGTCCTATGGTATATACATTGCTAAAGTAGTTTGAGAATACCTGACCCTTCCCAAAGTCGTCGTCCACTAATGATGCGGCAGTATTGTCTCCCCGTGGTGCAGGAATATTTCCTCTTCTTTTCGTCCTTTGGTTTATATAGGAATACAAGCGTTTAAGACATTCTATGGATTCCTTAACGATTTCCTCTTCGTACAACTTTCTAGACATACGGAGAGTCGAGGCATAGGTATCCCGAGCTTTTCGATACTGAAAGTTTGTCTCATCAGTCCCCAGTAATCTAAATCTGTAACACATTTTTCTTCTTTTACGGAGAAGGATGTGAACCTCCCTACTGAACCATGGTGGAGAGATTCTCGGCCTCCTTGTTAAGGTCCGAGCGATGTGGGGTGAAATAACTTTTCCGTACAAATTTCAAAAGACATCCCAAACCATTTCAATCGAGGATTCTGGCTCTATTGTCCAATCTACTGACGATGATAAATGTATTATATCTTGTATGTTTTTACTTTCCAGACGTTAGGTCTGAATTCATCTGACTCGTGTTCGTTTTTGACGATTATATGGAAATTAAGAATTGGAACTGCATGATCACTTTTACCTAGGGGTGGCATATAATCGAGGTTCGTAACCTCACCCCCCATAATGAATCAATATAAGATCTAGTAAGGATGATTCAATGTCCGGGTCGTACCTAGTCGATCCTTTTACATGTTTCACCAGGGCACATGTGATAACCACATCAACTGGTTCTTGCTCAAATGAATTATCTAACAATTCAATTCGCAGATTTTCCCAGTCTACCGTGGGTGCATTAAAGTACCATAGGATTAGACATCGATCACTTAGTAATCAAGTATTGAGACTGTTTAGCAAGAACCATATACCTCACATCCTGGACTGCGATAGACCAGAGTACTCAGCAGCTCTTGTCCCCTGCATTTCAAACGATAACTAGCTAATTCACAGATTCGACTCCCATGGGCTTGTAGAACGATGGTTTACTATGATATTAGTACTGCGCTAATGATGGACTTAATCCTAAAGTTGTAGATTTGTCATGATATAACTACCTAATCTATAAGTTCTTATGTGGAGGTCACATTGTCGTCTACACCAACTCACTGCATCGTAACAATCACCAGTACATGATGGAGAACAAGCGAAGGCTAGAAATAGAGCAATATATTTGATATGAACAAAGGACATAAGGTAACATTCAACAGGGACCACACTTGCAAGGCCGAGCCATGCCATCTGATCAACCCGAATTAATTCAACTCCTTGTCCCCGCCCTCCTCATCGTTGGGTTTTTCTCCGTGTTAGACACTGAATATCTATTTTCCCGATTGTCTCGTGTTCAACTTTGTGGATTGTGTCATTAGGGCTTAATGCCATTACACTAATCTTTCACGTCAGGCTCACCAGTTTCGTGCCTGTAAGTAACCCTCGTGCTATTGATAGAAGAAAACAGACTAGTAGTGAATAGGTTTTTGTTTAGATTATCGTGAAGTCACACTGAATCGCGGGATTACCTGTTCAGACAAACAGAGACTCTCAACATTCAACATAAGATAATAGGAAATATAACGTCTATACAAAATAAGGAATGGAATGAATACTTGAACTATACTGCTTTGATATATGCTTAGTTGTATGAGGTCAACTCTGAACCAATCAACCTAAGCTGTAACAGGCTGCACTGACGATAGTAGCAAATGGGAAATCATTCCTAATTAATAGAACTACTGCCCCTCCTATACGCTTCCGGATTCTGTCTATTTCTACTAACGCAAAACCCTCAAAATCAGGTTCCATTCTATCTATAGCATGCGTCTGTCAAGTTCCTGTTGCTGCGATTATGTCTGGCTTTGTAGAGTCAGTCTGTACACCCAGTTCCGATCGCTTATTGAGCAAGCTTCTGGTATTGGTGTAACAGACCCGAAGCCTATTTAATTAGCTTTGTGCTTCACTCAGAGTGGCTTCGGCATCATTCTCTGTCGAAGACTTGCAACCCGAAAGTTTAGAGCTTTTATGTCTTTTTCGCCAGCGTCTAACCTTGTTATGACGTGAAAAATATAAATGCTGCTGACTAAGGGTAGCGAATTATTGATCGGACCAAAGACGCGCAAACACGTAGAACGACCTAGAGTTCTGATTGGTCTCGCTTCCCTGTCTAACCCAGCCAGTTGAGTCCAGAACGAAAGTTTCAGCCTCGGATATATGAATCATTATATTTCAAACATACTTTGTTTATATACCAGTCAAGCAGACCACAACGTACCATAAAATAGAAAATAACATTGTACAATAATAGCCAGTAGGAAAATGACACGTTAAATAAATATAGACCAATAAGATGATACCATTTCATGTCCAAGCATAGCATTAGGCTTAACAGGATAATTTTTGGGATATTTTCCTGAATATCCCAACAAACCTAAGTTGTAGTTCTTTTTCGGCTTCCCGTCTTTTTACACAGTCTGCCAGAGGCAAGACATTACAGACGAAGACTCCTGAACCCTTTAATTTATGTCCATTCTCTAAAAATAATTTCCGTTCATTAGGAGATTTGATTACTAATTTAAGCAGCCTGGTATGATTTGGTTTTAAGTTTACTTGACTACCTAATCTATACACCTTTAGCTAGGTGACTCCGGATATATTTTGAAGCATAGGTTGATTTAGTAGTTCTTTTATCAACCCAATATCATGCTCAAAACGAGTTTTCCATTCAGAACTTTCACTCTCTTTGACCCTATGAAAAATAACTGACTTGTCACTATGATCAGTCTTCAGTATCTCGACGACATTTAAGGGTGGTAAGATTTCCTCTTATGTCGTTATGTAGGTTCTTACTTACGACCTGTGCGTATTCGACAAATTTCGTTGGAGTAGCAACTACAGTTACATCAAACACATTGTAGGATTCCGACTTTACTAAACTGGTTGAAAGACGCAGGTGTCAAATTCGTGCAAACTTTGTGGTACTAGCCTTTGCAATAAATATAAATCGTTTTGCCTCTTTCAGTTTGCATTCCTCTCTGATACGGGACTTTTCAGTCTTTTGCGACGGGAAGTGTCAAATGAAAATACTGTCCTATAATTGTTCTGTGTATCGGACAGGATGGATGAAACTTTATTTTGAAAGTAAAACTGCCTGAAAAGAATGGCAGTCCCGAAGATCTCTCCAAGACATAGACAATTATCATGAGTTAAACCGTGCTCACGAACAAAGCTAATGGACGGAAGAATTGGACGAAGACAAACCGCTGTAGTGTTTACTACCAATAAGCACTCATATATTCAACCTAACTCAGACAGCATGTGAATGTTGACTTATTTTCACCTTCGCAACAGCCGTCTTCATTAAGATCCTGATCCTTAACATAAATGTATGTCTCACTTTGATGCTCTTGTATCTCTACGATTATGCACTTATCGATTACTGTTTTCCTACCTAACGCCTGTATCTTTTTCATACTATATATTATTCGTTTTTGAGCTATATTAACGATTGTAATTAGCAGTCAGACCAACGGTAAACAGGACTTCGTATCATATTATTAAACTTATCTCTCACGATTATTCGGAATAATGAGTAATGTTCGTTCTGTTTGACTCATCATTTAAAACGCATATACACAAATCTTCTGCTGCCGTTTATGCATAGTGTCACCGGTTGTGTGGAAAATACTTAACCGCAAGTTATTTGTAGTCGACTTCTGGTCTTATAATGCATGGCGACGAGTGGTTTCGATGTGTTTGGGTTGTCATACATTACAAGGGTAATGTATAACGACATCATTCCTGAAGTTGGATGCTGTTTAACGTTAAAATAATGCTCTCATAGAAAATGATAACAGTGACAAGCATGATGCTGCACATGGTTAAGTGGGACTCAAATAACCGTTTAATCATACTCTGTAGATAAACAAGTTCATAAAACAGTTAGCATCCACGCCATTTTACCGTAAACAATAACTGGAATAACACGGTGATATTCCTCAATCTGAAAATATTGTCACAAAGAACTTCATATCTTAAACTAATCTTTGAAACAAGTGTCAGTCATGTATTTCCGCACCGAACGGAATTACACTATCACTTAGGAAATTAAAAACTACTTCGATAACGTCAAACCATAAAGCTCTACTGATAGCATGAATAGGCTGAAAATTTATAGCGATTGACAAACTTAGCTCTTCCCTGTGGTATTACAAAAGTTATGATGGCATATTAACGAAATTCAATAAATTTTAAAACAATTATTACAGAAAAAATGTATGTAAAAATGGTCTAACGGATTGTACAATAATATATTAATTAAAAAACTAGTATCACAGATACACGTTGAGAGGTGTAACGTACGAAAAATGCTTCGATTCAGTGTTTAATTCTATAATCATAAAATATAGAAAAATAGAAGGACATTGTAGCAATGAAAAAGAAAGTTGGATACATAGACAAAGTACACAAAAACTAAAACAAGGAATCTTCGAGAAAATAACCGTTTAGAACACCCTTTTTAAGGCTTTACAAATTTAAACATGTACATCTTTAATAACTAGCGTGGAAATGTTACTAGTTTCACAGATACCTATAGCGCTTCATCAGCCCACGATTGTAGAAATACACTCATTTCACTGAATAGTTTTCCTACATTAGAAAATCACTTAACGTTGATATTAACACAAACATGAGAACGAATTATCTCCGTCACACAAGAAGCCCTATTTGTCGGGTATCTCAGGTATATTGAAATCACAACACGAAAATTTTGGTTTTAGATCTTATGGAACCAACTACATTAATAACCGACTGAATTACAACATCCAATGACATTTTACCTAAATCTTTATTCGGTTTATAGTACAACCACTTTTGAAAATGAACAAGATGAGTTATTACTTTCAGGCTGCGTAACATAAACTCAGTAATCCGTTGGTGTCGACCAGCACATTTGAACCACTATTTGGATGTTAGGTGAACAAACTCATTTTACTACACTTCCATCGAAAAAGTGAAGTAATGAAGAACATAGGCAAAAAAGAATTGGAGAAACTTTTGCAGGTTGTTACACTATATTATTCATAAAGAGAGACGAGTATTTGAACGATATTCCTGTTATCAAGATGCATCACACGTAGAATCAACTCAATACGCATATTGATCATGTTTACACCACTATTATACCGCGAGGTTCCGGACACCAAGACCAAAAATGTAAACTGTACATTTAATTAGAGCTGAACGGTTAATGAGTTTTTATTGCAAAGTGATTACTAGTTTATATGGATTATAACTAGTCGTATTACAATAGTGTATTATTAACAGTCGTTTTAAATAATTCATACAGGAGATACAAAATGCACTCCTAATCATATAACGATACACTCAGAAATTCAGGCTAACCAGTAGCTTATTTTTAAAGATTTATAAACATACTCTTAATTTTTCGTCAAAAGGGGTCATGAATTTCAACCACCGATATAGTAATACCAACGCAGCTGCTTTAACTAAAGTAGAGATTACTTCTGTTAAAATAAACAGAATCATTATAGAATTCGAACAAGTTCTTTCAAAGTTATTAGGCCTGCTTTATATAGATAGATGATATCAAGCTGTTAACCATGTTGTATTTAAATAACTGTGTTTAAAAGATTATTAAGTAGTCGAGCAGTGCAAATATAATTACACTACATAAAACAAGTTTTCTTATCCTTATACAAAATGAGTTGAACTAGACTAGGAAGAGTGGATTAACATTTTCAAACTGTCCATTCTCAAATACACTTTGTTCTCAATCAAAAAAATAATTATGTGCATGTTCAGTGAACTTACAATATATTGTTTTCATACAAAGTGGAATTGTTGATTTCTATAACTGGTCCAGGGATTATATGACGCACGCTACCAAAAAAGTCTGTAACAAGTACGCGACGTATATCACGTCTAAATAAATCAGATCGAGTGATAACAGTTGATTGACATAATGAGTAAGAGCATAACTGGGACTAGGTTACAAAATAAAGAGGTAAAAACACAATGCAATTAATTTGTATAGCTAAATAACTGACTTAAGTACGTTTACTGAGATACATCATCCGCTTGTGAAAAAGTTAATAAGTCTATAGAGTCAATCACAAGAATGTATCGATCAAAGTTACTCCATGCTGTAAAGATACGACGAAAAATCAGGAAGCAACATTAGACAGAAATAAAATAAACACTCAGTAATTATATGATCGAAATAAATGAGAAAATAATTGTGGATTCATTACCAACACTGTATTTTACTCAATGAGACATCCAGTCATTGGTTACAACCACTGTCAAAATAATATTGAAACAGCTTAAACTGTTGAAGAACAATTCATTCAAATTGTTTTAATTATATATAGGCTATTTCTTTAATCTCGAACAACAATCACGTGTCACAGAAAATGACAGTTGTTGATAATGCTCTTAAAAAATGTAGGAATTATCATATATGCTAATCTTTTCAGTGTACCATATCATGCTTCGGCACAGAGAAACAACTTACAAGATGAAGAGCAAAAGTTGAATAAGAAATTAACAGCAATAAAAATAACTGGATGGGACTTAGTGAATACATGGTTGATTTGCATGGATTTTACGTCTTCAATCTCCAGATAGGCGTTGGATAGTTAAGGGAGCTGAAAAGTTAGAAATTACATTTATCATCGTAATCGCTGTAGATTTAAGAACACTATCTGTATATTGAAACAGATCCATACTGCACTCAAGGACTGGACATCATTAGGAATGATGGTAAATCAGTTGATGAGGTTGTGAATCTTCATTAACTGAGATGGTTGGGCCACGTGTTGCGTATGCCTGAACACCGATCACCACGACGTGCAATGCTAACCGGTGTTGGGGATGGTTGGAAGAAAGTAAGGGGCGGCCAAACCAAAACGTAGTATAAGTGCTTGAAGACACGAACTTCTGGTCTGAGCCATGTTGGTAGATGCAGACTACTTGGTTGGGGTCCGCGTGACTATCGCAACCAATGGTTGGAGACTATTGGTGACATGGCTCAGAATCGATCACGGTGACGTAGGTGCATACACTATCTTCTCTTAAACTAAGAGATTAAAACCACTTTATATCTTTCTCTCTACGAACTAATTCTTTCTTCCTGTACTATATCCTTATTGCAATCTTTCTTTTATATATTACCACCTCTGAATTAACTACTTTTATGAATCCGGTCTTCATCTTGTTGTATTAATGAGGTATGGCAACTTGGACCGATGCATATATGTGCCTGGTCCTACGTTGTAGCTGACTGACTGACTGACTGACAAGGACTGGACACTTTGTGAACAATGGTCATTCCATGAGGCTAAATTAAAAATTCTAAGTTATTCACGTAGTGAGTAGAAATCTACTAAAAACACAGACCTGTTGCCTCATTTGAACTGCTGAAACTTCCTTACTTACTTACTTACGCCTGTTACTCCCAATGGAGCATAGGCCGCTGACCAGCATTCTCCAACCCACTCTGTCCTGAGCCTTCTTTTCTAGTTCCATCCAATTCTTGTTCATTTTTCTCATGTCTATCTCCAGTTCTCGGCGTAATGTGTTCTTTGGTCTTCCTCTTTTCCGTTGACCTTCAGGATTCCATGTGAGGGCTTGTCTTGTGACGCAGTTCGGTGCTTTCCTCAATGTGTGTCCTATCCACTTCCAGCGCTTCTTCCTGATTTCTTCCTCCACTGGGATCTGGTTTGTTCTCTTCCACAGTACGTTGTTGCTAATAGTGTCCGGCCAATGGATTTGAAGTATTTTGCGTAGACAACTGTTAATAAACACCTGTATTTTCTGGATGATGGCTTTTGTAGTTCTCCAGGTTTCTGCCCCATACAGTAGAACTGTCTTGACATTTGTATTGAAAATCCTGACCTTGGTGTTGGTTGACAGTTGCTTTGAGCTCCAGATGTTCTTCAGTTGTAAATATGCTGCTCTTGCTTTGCCGATCCGCGCCTTCACATCTGCATCAGATCCACCCTGTTCATCAATGATGCTGCCCAAATATGTAAAGGTTTTTACATCTTCCAAATCTTCTCTGTCAATTGTGATTGGATTGGTGCATGCTGTGTTGTATCGGAGAATCCTGCTTTTCCCTTTGTGTATGTTGAGACCTACTGCTGCTGAGGCTGCTGCCACGCTGTTTGTCTTCTCCTGCATCTGTTGTTGCGTGTGGGATAGAAGGGCCAGATCGTCTGCGAAGTCTAGATCATCCAACTGCATCTTAGATGTCCATTGTATCCCGCGCTTTCCTTCAGACGTTGACGTCTTCATGATCCAGTCGATCACCAGGAGAAAGAGAAACGGTGAGAGTAAGCAACCTTGCCTAACACCGGTCTTCACTTCGAACGACTTTGTCAACTGTCCTCCATGCACAATTTTGCAGTGTAATCCATCATATGAGTTCTGTATGATATTGACTATCTTCTGAGGCACGCCGTAGTGTCGAAGAAGTTTCCATAGTGTTGTTCTGTCCACGCTGTCAAATGCCTTTTCGTAGTCAATGAAGTTGATGTAGAGTGATGAATTCCATTCAATTGATTGTTCCACAATGATCCGTAGAGTTGCGATTTGGTCTGTACACGATCTATCCTTACGGAATCCTGCCTGTTGGTCTCGAAGTTGGGCGTCTACGCAGTCCTTCATCCTGTTTAACAATACCCTGTTGAAGACTTTTCCCGGTATTGAGAGAAGAGTGATGCCCCTGTAGTTATCACACTTGCTGAGATCGCCTTTCTTCGGTATTTTGATCAGAAGTCCTTCTTTCCAGTCTGTTGGTACTTGTTCCTCATCCCAAATCTTATTGAAGAGAATGTGGAGTATCCTTGCAGTTGCCGCTACGTCTGCTTTTAGTGCCTCTGCCGGGATGTTGTCCGGTCCTGCTGCTTTGCCACTCTTGATTTGCCTGATGGCCATGCTGATTTCTTCAATTGTTCGTGGGCCAACATTGAGTGGGAGGTCCCTGGGTGCTGCTTCGATGTTGGGTGGGTTCAGTGGCGCTGGTCGATTCAAGAGTTCGTTGAAGTGTTCTAACCACCTGTTTTGTTGCTCTTCAATGTGGGTGATTACCTTGCCTTCCTTGCTTTTCACTGGTCGTTCTGGTTTGCGGCGATTTCCAGAGAGCTTCTTTGTCGTGTCATACAATTGTCTCATGTTTCCTTCTCTTGAAGCCTTTTCCGCCGTCGTTGCTAAATCTTCCACATATTTACGTTTGTCGGTTCTGATGCTCCTTTTCACTTGTTTGTTTATTTCCGTGTATTCAGCTTGTGCCTTAGCTTTTTCTGCTCTTGTTCGGCTGGTATTGATCGCTGCCTTCTTGTTTCTTCTTTCTTGAATCTTATCCAGTGTATCAACAGTGATCCATTCCTTGTGGTGGTGCTTCTTGTGACCCAGGACCTCATGACATGTTGAAGTGATTGCCTCTTTGATCCCCTTCCAGTTGCTCTCCACAGTAGTTCCTTCTCCATTGAGTAGATCATGAAAGGCCTGGAACTTGTTGCTGAGGACTATCTTGAATTTGTTGAGTTTGTTAGTATCCTGAAGAAAGGCCGTATTGAACTTTTGTGATACTGTCTGCCCCGTTGTCCAGTGCTTCTTGAGTTTCAATTTCATCTTGGCGACCAGTAAGTGATGATCTGATGCTATATCAGCTCCTCTCTTGGTTCTCACGTCCTCTATAGTCCTCCTGAACGTTTTGTTGATGCAAATATGGTCGATTTGGTTTTGTGTAGAGTGATCCGGTGAAGTCCATGTGGTTTTGTGTATGCGTTTATGTGGGAATACGGTGCCGCCTATGACCAGCTTATTGAAGGCACATAGATTTGCAAATCTCTCACCATTTTCGTTTCTTTCTCCCAGTCCGTGTCGTCCCATGATGTCTTCATATCCAGTGTTGTCCGTTCCAACCTTGGCGTTGAAATCTCCCATCAGAATGGTCGGGTCCTTTGTTGGGCACTTCTCGACGATTGACTGCAGCCTATTGTAGAATTGATCTTTAGCGTCTTCATTGTAGTCGTTGGTAGGCGCATAGCATTGGATGATGTTCATTGAAATGCCCTCTTTCTTTGTTTTGAAGGAGGCTTTGATGATCCTTGGTCCATGAGATTCCCATCCTATAAGTGCATTTTGTGCTTGTTTGGACAGCATCAATGCAACTCCTTGTGTATGTGGTGCATTTTCTTCTTCATGGCCGGAGTATAACAGGAGCTCTCCTGTAGTTAGTCGTTGTTGTCCAACTTGTGTCCAATGTGTTTCACTGATCCCAAGTACCTCTAGGTTGTATCTTCTCATTTCTGCAGCAATTTGGAAGGCTCTTCCGGTGTCCCACATTGTACGAACATTCCATGTACCTAAATAAATGGTTGCTCTGGTTGTCAGAAGGGGCATCGGCCTCGTAACTTCCGAAGGAATTCGGCTTTCATCATGAGGCGTCATAATTCTTCTAAATGAAGACCTTCTGACTCCCAGGGCAGAGTTTAAAAGGTTTGAATAATTTTTTCTGGTTAGCGTTTTTTTAGCGAGTTAGTTTTCTACGGGATGGGGACGCTAACCCCATGCCCAACCCTCCTTTTTTATCCGGGCTTGGGACCGGCAGTAGCCCCCGGAGGGACTCCAGGCGGAGTTGCTGAAACTTCCACAACACATATAAACCAAGCAGAACTGTGTGTACAAATGAAGCAATTAAATCGCCTCACTCATTTTCAATCACCAAGCTAACTTCCAATCCCCCCAACACAACTTATTTCTATTCACCTGTTTTTCTTATCAAACTTCAATATCAAAATCTGTCTTGTCACGATATAAATTCGGTTTTGCAGTTTATTATTCCTATCAATTTTTGACGTTTCGGTGAAAATCAAGCTACTAACTACATAACTAGTCATTTTATGAGTATAACATTCATTATGCTGAAAAGTTTCACCAGCCCTTACGTTTTAGTGATAAGAGTGACAACTAACTAAGTGAATATAAGGAATAGTAAGATAACCATCAATTTTACTGTCGATTGTTTAATCTAGCACATAAAGCTATACGGACTTTTCAGTACAGAAACAAAAAGCTATGGTATAATTAAAACTTACAAAATCATACAATGTTCTTTTGCTCGAAGGAGTAACAGACTCCAAAAACTGAAACGCATAGTAAGAATATCGATCAGAAACATAGGTCCCAATTTCGCGATCCGAATGGAGCTGAATGATAAAAGTGAGAATATTTTTGGACAGTATAAAATTAGTTGTCATACAAATATGATTAAATTTAAAGGGAAATCTTAATTCCAACTACATCCAGTCCAGCAGTCTGTATGAAGGGAAATACATGAAAAATTCTTACGAATTTAGTCAAGAAAACTGATGCATAGACAATATTGTTAACACTAGTTGGATTCAATAAGTGAGAAACATCACAACTGTATGACAAAACAATTGCAAATAACCAATAAATTCATAAATCTAAAACAAATTAAACAAGATGTGTAACAAGTACATACAAGCTATGTACTTCGAAGTTCAGAGAGAAATTCAAAATATCTACTAACCAATCAATTAAGGAGGAAAATTATACTTGTGAAAATCTCAGAGATTGAACTTTAAGTAAATTCAACGTTTTGTTTGGCCCAGACATTTGTAGGAAATATAACCAAACATCAAAATTGTCGAATATAAATAGTTCACAGGTCAAATTTATAATAAACAAAGTTATTTAATCACATTAATAATTTTGAAATGGAGATTTATTGTAGTGTGTATGAGATATTTGGTATTCGAGATATTCCCATATTGTAAATTTAAAAAAACATAAACATAAGCGAACAATATTGTTTCCGATTAGATCCTCATCAGGCTTTACTCTAATATACAGTAATATTTATATGCATATATGAAATTATTAAACCAATCAAGGTAGTTTATAAGTCAATGATAACAATGAACAAAATAAAGTGGTAGAATGGGGTGATGAAAAATAATAAACGAAGAGAAAGTTAGAAGAAGAATAAATAAATTCATTTATTACTTAATGCCAAGGGAGAGATAAGGGTGTTACAAATTTCTTCTGAACACAAAGACTTGGCTTGTTGGCTCGGATTCCTATAGCTTCTGCTATGTGTAAGAGACGAGATCGAACACCATAAGGAAAACTAGTGGGAATACGATAAATAACTTTGAACGACTTGTTTCTGTCCACTATATGACCGCTATCGATCAAGTGTGATAGAACCGAGCTGCGTATTGTTTTGACGTAACCCGTTCCTAACCACGAAGGAAGGTGTTCACTAACTCGTTGGTTCAGTTGCCTGGTAGTGCGCCCAATATAGCTTTCTTCACAGGAGCAGCTGAATTCGTAGATACACATAGAAGTGGCATAACCAGGTAACTTATCCTTCAATTGTGGAATCACCATCGATCGGGTCGAATACGATAGACAGAGGTTGGCAGCATTAAATGTTCTCTTTACTGCTCTAGTCAATCTATCCCGTAATACATCGCTAGCTAAATCACCATTGAGTTGCAGCTTTAAGAAAAGCGGTTTCTTATTAGCCGTCAGAGTCACAATTTTCTTGTTTTGTACCCGCAAGTGTTTCTTCAGGAAACCCAGTGGATATCCCAATTCAATCAAAATATTATGAATGTGTTGTAATTCCCTATCAATTGTGTCGACTGAGCATATCTTAAGAGCTCTAACTGCAAGACATTTGACTAAGTTTCTCTTATAATGAAGAGGCACAAAGCTTGAAAAATGTGTGTATTGGCTTGAAGAAGAACCTTTTCTATACACACCTCTGCTGGTAGAACCATTTTCTTTTCTACTTAACAAAACGTCCAGAAAATTTAGTTTGTTATCTATTTCCTCTTCACATGGAAATTTAATAGCAGGATGTTTGTTATTAAATAGTTCCAGTAGTTGTTCTTTTCTAATGTACTGATCGGCAATGATGAAGGTGTCATCAACTTAACGACAGTAGAAGTCCAGTTTATTGATAACCTCTTTGAGAGGTCCGTTTTCTAGTTTCGCCAGAAAAAAATCCACAAGGATGGGGACCTAGTGGTGAACCCATCGCTATACCATCAATTTGTCTATAATATGTGTTATTAAAGACAAAATAGACATTCATTGTGCATTTTAGAAGTAATTCTTTAAGACTAACCTCAGGAATTCCAATATTGATTTGTTTTTCCTGCAGTTGTTGGCACACAAGATCGATAGTCTCTGTTAACGGTACATTGGTGAACAGGGAAGCAACATCTAAAGATATCATTCGTTTACCATTTAAATTTATATGTTCCACTTTAGAAATGAAATCGAAGACGTCTTTCACACTCCTGTTGACGACTAATTTGTGTAAGGGGTTTAGGATACGAACTAGCCACTTTGCAGTTTTATGATAAGGCGAATTATACATATCTAAAACTGGGCGAAGAGGAAGACCTGTTTTGTGAACTTTAGGTAAACCATATAGTCGCAGTGTGTTCGATCCCGTAGGTTTGAGTGAGTCATGTATGTCCGGAGTAAGAATACCTTTATTTTTTTAAATTCCTTCAGTGAGTTAGTCAGCAATTTTTCTGCCTTCGTATTTAAGTCCTTAACGTCGTTGAGTTTCTGAAATTTTGTCGGATCATTCAAAATCACGTTCATTTTATTAATGTAATCAGCTTTGTTCAATAAGAACTAGCCCGCCTCCTTTGTCCGGCTTGCTTATGATTATAGTACTGTCGTTTCTAAGTACTTGTAAAGCATCTCGGTGCTGTTTGGTAAGTGGAGTTTTCACTGTACATTTACTATTTTTGTATTGTTGGCAGATGTCTACCAACGTGGTCTTAAACCTGGTTAGTTCATCAGGAGAAGTCGGCACCAAATCTGATGTTTGTGTAAATAAATTTTCAAATTGTACGTCTGTATCTAGTTGGTTTATTTTATTTCTGTAGTCACAAAACCTAGGGCCGAGTGACAATGCCTCTGATTGCAATGTGTCTAACGTAACACTAGGGAATAAGCTAACTCAGTCACTGGAACCTCATAAACCTGAAAGAAAATTTCCTATGGACCCTGAGCGGTACGTTCATAATTTCTCTAGTGTTACATTAGACACATTGCAATCAGAGGCATTGTCACTCGGCCCTAGGTTTTGTGACTACAGAAATAAAATAAACCAACTAGATACAGACGTACAATTTGAAAATTTATTTACACAAACATCAGATTTGGTGCCGACTTCTCCTGATGAACTAACCAGGTTTAAGACCACGTTGGTAGACATCTGCCAACAATACAAAAATAGTAAATGTACAGTGAAAACTCCACTTACCAAACAGCACCGAGATGCTTTACAAGTACTTAGAAACGACAGTACTATAATCATAAGCAAGCCGGACAAAGGAGGCGGGCTAGTTCTTATTGAACAAAGCTGATTACATTAATAAAATGAACGTGATTTTGAATGATCCGACAAAATTTCAGAAACTCAACGACGTTAAGGACTTAAATACGAAGGCAGAAAAATTGCTGACTAACTCACTGAAGGAATTTAAAAAAATAAAGGTATTCTTACTCCGGACATACATGACTCACTCAAACCTACGGGATCGAACACACTGCGACTATATGGTTTACCTAAAGTTCACAAAACAGGTCTTCCTCTTCGCCCAGTTTTAGATATGTATAATTCGCCTTATCATAAAACTGCAAAGTGGCTAGTTCGTATCCTAAACCCCTTACACAAATTAGTCGTCAACAGGAGTGTGAAAGACGTCTTCGATTTCATTTCTAAAGTGGAACATATAAATTTAAATGGTAAACGAATGATATCTTTAGATGTTGCTTCCCTGTTCACCAATGTACCGTTAACAGAGACTATCGATCTTGTGTGCCAACAACTGCAGGAAAAACAAATCAATATTGGAATTCCTGAGGTTAGTCTTAAAGAATTACTTCTAAAATGCACAATGAATGTCTATTTTGTCTTTAATAACACATATTATAGACAAATTGATGGTATAGCGATGGGTTCACCACTAGGTCCCCATCCTTGTGGATTTTTTTCTGGCGAAACTAGAAAACGGACTTCTCAAAGAGGTTATCAATAAACTGGACTTCTACTGTCGTTAAGTTGATGACACCTTCATCATTGCCGATCAGTACATTAGAAAAGAACAACTACTGGAACTATTTAATAACAAACATCCTGCTATTAAATTTCCATGTGAAGAGGAAATAGATAACAAACTAAATTTTCTGGACGTTTTGTTAAGTAGAAAAGAAAATGGTTCTACCAGCAGAGGTGTGTATAGAAAAGGTTCTTCTTCAAGCCAATACACACATTTTTCAAGCTTTGTGCCTCTTCATTATAAGAGAAACTTAGTCAAATGTCTTGCAGTTAGAGCTCTTAAGATATGCTCAGTCGACACAATTGATAGGGAATTACAACACATTCATAATATTTTGATTGAATTGGGATATCCACTGGGTTTCCTGAAGAAACACTTGCGGGTACAAAACAAGAAAATTGTGACTCTGACGGCTAATAAGAAACCGCTTTTCTTAAAGCTGCAACTCAATGGTGATTTAGCTAGCGATGTATTACGGGATAGATTGACTAGAGCAGTAAAGAGAACATTTAATGCTGCCAACCTCTGTCTATCGTATTCGACCCGATCGATGGTGATTCCACAATTGAAGGATAAGTTACCTGGTTATGCCACTTCTATGTGTATCTACGAATTCAGCTGCTCCTGTGAAGAAAGCTATATTGGGCGCACTACCAGGCAACTGAACCAACGAGTTAGTGAACACCTTCCTTCGTGGTTAGGAACGGGTTACGTCAAAACAATACGCAGCTCGGTTCTATCACACTTGATCGATAGCGGTCATATAGTGGACAGAAACAAGTCGTTCAAAGTTATTTATCGTATTCCCACTAGTTTTCCTTATGGTGTTCGATCTCGTCTCTTACACATAGCAGAAGCTATAGGAATCCGAGCCAACAAGCCAAGTCTTTGTGTTCAGAAGAAATTTGTAACACCCTTATCTCTCCCTTGGCATTAAGTAATAAATGAATTTATTTATTCTTCTTCTAACTTTCTCTTCGTTTATTATTTTTCATCACCCCATTCTACCACTTTATTTTGTTCATTGTTATCATTGACTTATAAACTACCTTGATTGGTTTAATAATTTCATATATGCATATAAATATTACTGTATATTAGAGTAAAGCCTGATGAGGATCTAATCGGAAACAATATTGTTCGCTTATGTCTATATTTGGTATTAAAAGTGGAGAAATTGTGTTAAGATATAACAAGTATATTTAGATCTGACGCCAGAAAAATGCATCGACCATGTCGTCTCGGATTAGAAATTTATTGAAATTAGATCATTTGACAGATGATATGAATCAAACATGTCACACCATTCATCGTTTGAGGATAAATAAAGAAATACATGTTCACGTTATTGTGTCGACCACGTTGATTTTTTATTGTATATTCGGACTAACCAATCGATTAGAACATGTGAAAGTAATTGTTACTGTCCAAGAGATGAATAAAATAAGGTGTAAAATTAAGTTGATTGTATTCCATCTCTCGTATAAATATTGTTTGGGTTTGCCTATATATGTAGGACTCTAGTGTCACTGAAATAAACTAAACATCCGGACTCAACTAAATCTAACGGTATCACTGACTTGTTTCCTAACTTTCCTTCAAGTCATTTGAGGATTAAAGAGTATGCTTCACACTCAAATTCTGCTGTATTTGTTTCACCCACAATTTCGTTGTTTTTCCTTTAGTATTGAGTTTCTAACTCTTGCTACTTGAGTATTGTTTGTTTGGAGGAATACTAATATATCGTAGAATTCAAAGCAGGAAATACATCTATGATACACCCTAGTTGTATCTAGACATCGTTATTTATTAGCATTTTTGGTACAGTCAGTTTTTTGTCCGTAGTTTCGGTTCAGTACGTCTTGCAGCCATTTCATTTCATAAACATGTAGGGGCTGGTACTATGTCAAGTCCACATAGGTTATTCTAGCCTCTAGACAGATCGATCTATTCATTCTTTTCAAGCCGCATTTTTACCCTGTCACTTATTGGTTTATCAACCTTGACTGTTTTTATATGAGCGTATTAATGTGTGTACATTTCTTATCTTACTCATCTCGTCTGTAACTTAGTTTTTTGTTGGATTACAAATCGAGTTGGCTCACTCGCCTTCTCCACTGCGCGTCATTTAGTTTAGCTTCTCTCTCTCCTCTTCGCTCCGTCTCCTTTATTGGCTGATCAGATCAACGATTGTATGAAATATACGTATTCAAAAATTCATTATTCACCAACTTGATTTAAGTCGATGATAACATACGAGGACTGGCGACATGTATATTTAGATAGCAATCGGCACACGATAAAATCGGAGTCAGATTTATGGTCACTAAAAACTCAATTTAACTACACAGAAAAACGTATATAGATAATCTGTACGACTGAATTAGAGAAAATATTTCGGAACCTAACCACCTATGTCAAAATGATGGATTACATTCAAAACATTCGGTAGGGTGGTAGTTAAAAGAGAACTGTGTAATAAGAAAGCCAGTAAATCTTAATCAATGAAAAGTGGATGCAAATATGAGTTGAAGCAGTGTTGACTGAGACAATTCATATCAAAATGAATGACAAGTAGACCGTGCATAAAGAATAAAGCTTCAAGTATTGCCTTGAGAAATATCAACTTGAACTCACAGATAATGATTCTTCTCCTATAGCACTGCTACCGATGGCTACTACATTAGGCGAATAAAACAACTTGCCCATTGATTCAGCTTGACATGTATCGACAATGAATAGTAATTCATGATACCTATTTAGGAAATAAGTAGAGTTAGTGGTTAATAAGTTGAGCAAGAACGTTTTAATGACATCAACTTCAAGACATTTCATAAAGAAAAACTTAAAACGAATCGTCAAGTTGTGGTATCAGGTGTAAATAATAGATGGTTCTAAATTCTAAGAAGACGAGACTTATTTTGTGGTCTTCATACAAGAATTTCTAGCCCCAGAACACACTGGTACGAACGAGGATGAGGAGAGTCTGTCAACCTCCTCAGAATGCTCTCTCATATGGCACGGAGTACATCTCCACAGGTAGGGAAATCTTACTTACATGCGAGGTTGTGTATAAAACTACCTCCCCTTTTAGAGTATTAATCCGGACTCTCATTATGCCATTGTTTGTGTTAATCTTACGTTTCAGTGGCCAAAAAAAATTAACTTCTCCAGCAAATCCATACGAAGATGCCACAGAGTCCCTGAATAAATGTACATGGAACAAGCTTTTTGGAGCGATAGATGGGGAAAGAATAGACAGTACTTCACTAGTGTTGAATATGTGCCCAAGATGGACAAAAGACATCGATTGCGAGACTTCCTAAAGGCATCCAATCTATCTGTCGTGCGATTTACACTAGTGTGCGAACGTTGGAGGCCAGTTCAAATGGCACACATGGTTTTAGAAAGGCTGGTTCAGAATTCGTGTTCGATAGTAGCCTTAAAATCTCGACGAGCCAGTGACTTGAGATCTTTTAGATGGGACAGGATTACCACCACAGGAGAGCTGCTGTATGAGTTGAGAAATAAATAAATACATAAAGTGGGAATAAAAGGGAACAGACACGTAACGCAATGCAAAATAGAAACGAATTTTACCGGAAAGCTGAGAGTATACTTCAAGAGAATAAGAATTGGATCGGACATGATTTTTTTCCAGTTTTAGTCATCATTGGGTTTGTGCCCGGGTGCCCAGATTGAAGATGGTTTACTTAGGAGGATGCTCTATACAAGTTGATTTAATCTTGAATGGTAAACTCGAGATCTCAATAGCACGAGATTTTAAGACTTGACTATTCGGAAAGTCATGAGAACAAGTCCTTGAAATAATCCTGAAATTCAGAGTTTTTCAGACTACGACAGATTTTTCAGTCATCCGCTCGGAATTCTTGCAGACTCATACTCGTTTTTTCTGACACCCTGCAGCCTTTTTTGAGTCTCCCATTTTGAATGTGTAAGTGTAAATTTGAAAGCTCTGGGTCATCGATGCAAAAGATGTCGAATAAACAGCTATAAACATGCTGGCGTTTATTATGAGTGCTTATGAAATGGCTGATAGCTTCACTTAATCGGTATTGAGAATATGCTTATTTTTGAGGGGCTAATACTTCTATATGTTGCATATGAAGTGAAAATTAGTGTATCTTTAACAGCCAGGAACATAAACAGTATGCATAAACGACTAATTTGTCATTTACGTAACAATAACATCTCCAACGACAGACTTGTGCATAATAATGCTGCCGTTTACAATAAAAAGTGACTCGGATATCCTGGAGGAAGTACAGAGGGCAGCTACCCATGCAATTCCAGAACTCCGGGGTTCACCATACAAAGAGAGGCTTGAAAAGCTGGACCTCTCTATTCTGTCCTATCGCAGACTAACGAGCGATCTAGTACTGATGTGTAGAATACTAAGAAATGATTTTGGACCTAATATATTCTCTTTTTCTTCCCACTAGGTCGGGACATCTCAGAGGACATGAGTATAAAAGCGAAGAACGAACAAAATACCCGTGGCATGCAGGATTTTATACCGAGTCATCAATACTTGGAACCTGTTACCCGAAGCAGTGGTGTCCGCACTTTCAATTGACTCGTTTAAGAAAAGACTAGGCACTCACAAAACCATACTAGAAAAAGAATAACATAGGCATAAGGCCCTGTCCTTACTACACCAATCTGAAAAACAACTAGTTGAACTTTTGAATATTAAACAGGGTTAGTCAAATTGTTAAATTTCAATATTAAACCCATAAACTTAGACCAGCACAGTAGGCAGGCACAGAAGTGTAAACATTTGGTCCTCGTTCTGCCATAAATTAGACTGCTGTAACCAACAGATGAAACAGTGCCTTTGAAGAGTATGGACTCAACTTTTCAAGTTAAAAACTGATAAATCCAGACTCACCTACGTTTTTGCCACATCTGTTCAATCGCATCGGCCAGTTCACTGTTAGAAAGCTCATGATCATCTTGAAACTTAAGGAAACCATCACCACCATGGCCTGAAGCCGGAATTAAAGTTTTTATGAACTACCTGTCATATATATTAGGATATTACTGTGCTCATCAGTATTGAGGCGCTTAGAAGTAGGTGTCGAAGGAGGTAAACGCCCAGTTAATACACGAATGAAGTTTTCTACAGTAACTTCGTAACCACGATAATCAATCTCTATCTCTTCGCCATACAAATTTACCCGACTGTAAGGATTGTTGAAGATTGTTGCTAAGACCATAAGGATACGTCAAATATCTTACCTGGTCTCGGATTTCTCGAGCTACAACTTGCATCATCAGCCACCATCAAAATAATACGGCTTTTAAGATGAATAAATATAATAATAAATATGATACCTATCTGGTATTCCGAGGCGCTTGATACTTCGATAAATTGAAAGGACATTGCTTATATGTCGATAGTTGAACCAGAACCGCGAAGTATCTACAAGAACAGCCCAATTTGATGTGTGTCTTCCGTACGACAAGCTAATACTTGACTGAAGTTAATTTATACGTTTAGTAGCCAACATACCAACAAAACAGAAAAGATACAGTAACAAAAATTCAACCAGCACCATTTCATTCCGAAAAGGTTCGACAACCTTCAATACTGCCGCAAGTAACTGCGACCTTCAGTCTTCAGTAATAAGGATAGGTCTGTCGACCTATATTAATCTTTTCAGTGTGTAATACTGTGAAGGTTCAATCTCGTCCTGAATGCATCAACAGAAGGTGCTGATATTACGTGTTCCGGTAGAGAATTCCAGTAATTCACTACTCAATGCGAGAAACGCGTTCCGCGGAACTCCAGACGTAAACGATTTGATCTCGTTTTTTGAACTTCCTTCGAATGTTCTCTCAAATGATCGGTCCTAGACGGAAGCAAGAGATAAGACATGTTAATACCAAGATCATCGTCCAGTATACGATAAGCCAATATTAGATCACCCCGTATTGTACGGTAAGATAACGGGAATAAGTTAAGATGTCTCAGTCTGTCTTCGTAAGATAGGACAGATAAACCTTGTACCATCTTAGTACCTCGTCGTTGAACTCTTTCCAGCATATTTTCTTCATACTTGAAGCAAGGGCTCGCTGTTTGAATCAAATATTCTAAATGGGGTCGCACGTAAATCGGGTATAATAATCCGAACATTTCATCATCTAAATACTGGAAAGTCTAACGAATAGACCATAATACCGTATAGCCTATTGCAGCAGCAGCTTTACAGTGACTAGCGGTTTCGAGTTCACTGTGTAGCGGTGAATAAATCCCCAAAATAAATAGCCCTGTAAGTTTTCGACATTGGATGCTGACCATATGTTTTAGTGAACTCATCTAGCTGAAGGCGCTCGGTCAGGCATCCGCACCAGATCACGTGTGGTAACGCCGTGCTCAACATCTACCGCAATCGCTAGTCAGATTAGGTCAGAGAATTCCGATATATTGGTTATCGCCAAATATACCCTTCCGATCTGCTCGACTCTGTCTTTTGATTTCTCTCGGTGGGTACAAATCATATTAGGTGTTACTGGTAGAAGCGTTGTCAAACACTGAATACCTGTGTCATCTTCAACTGCTTAATATGACTCCTAAATCTTTATGGTTTCTTAGTTTAGGTAGCACGAATCCACATATTGTATAGTGATACGATTCATCATAGTTATTTATTTGCATCACCACTCTTATTGGGATTTGCTTCTAGTGACCACCTGTCCGACCATGCCACCAATGAGCTGGGATCATCCAGTAATAGTATTCTAGCTGACATACTGTGTATGGGTCTCCAAATCTATATGTCATCGGCAAAGAGTAGAACGGATGGTTTTGCTACAGTTGGTAATTCACTTACACAGAGTAAAAAGAGAAGAGGACCGAGGATTCTATCTTGGCAAACTCCACTTTTTACGGGTACCCACGAGTAGAGAGCCCCATTTACCATTACCCTTTGTCTCCTGTCTTGGAGAAAGTTACTTATCCACTCTACGACTGTTTAATGGATTCCAAACCGTTCCAGTTTGAATTTAAAACCAGAATGGGAGACCTTATCGAAGGCCTTACTTAGGTCTATGAAGATCACATCCACAAGAACATTTCGATCTTTTGCGGCAGCCCAATCTTCTCTTGCAATGAGAAGATTTGTCAAGCATGATAGGTCTATCCGAAAACCATGTTGTTCCCTGGAAAAAAGATTATGCCCTTCAACATAATTTATAACAGATATCCGAACAATTTCTTCTATCAGTTTTACGAACGCACTAGTCACGCTAACTGGTCTATAGTTACTAACTAAATCCCTACTCTCAACCTTATACACCGAGCTTAATATAGTGTCTTTCCAGTCTCTGGGCAGTTTTGGCTGCCTCAGAGACATGTCAAACAGTATCGCTAATGGCTCAGAGATTACATCTGATATGGCTTTCATAATCTTAGTATGAATATCATCAGGACCACTGGACTTATCAGGTTTGAGATGCTGAAGTAGCCTTAAAACAGTACCTTTTTCAGTGACTATGGAGTCCATCAGCGAGCCGCCACAATCATAATGAATTGTTGGTCGTTCCTCATTACTAATAAAAAACACTACTGAAATATTCTGTTGTAGCTTCAGCTTTTCGGTATCACGTTCTGCCAAGACTAACGGATTTTCTTGTATCGAACGTGATGGAATTCCATCGCTTATCTGAGTTTGCCTTTTTAAATAAAAGAATAACCGTTTCGGACTATACCTAGTATCCTTAACCAATTGTTTTTTATATAGTTGCCTAGTCTTACTTATCAAGGCTTTACAGGCATTCCTGATCTTACTATGACTGGATCTGTATTGCTCTAAGCCAGTAGAGATGAACATATCCCAGTGCTTCTTCCTTTTTCTAAGAAGTTTCCTGACGAGTTTAGTTATTCATGGTGGACTGTTATTCGGTCTTCGCGGTACCAAGTATGGTATGAACGAGGACGCAACTAAACTAAACTTACCTTTAAGTATAGACCATGCTTCTTCAACTGATAAACTAGTATCTACAAGCCAATCTGTCTTAGCAGCGTATTTATGAATGGCTGACATGTTAGCTTTCCATACATTTGGACGGGGTGCAACCTGATCGTGTAACATGTTCCTAGTTCTAAACGTGAATGACAAAGGAGCGTGATCGTTGTTCAGTAACAGTGGAAGAATATTTAGGTCGACAATATCCTCAGTCTCATGAGCGATTACCAAGTCCAACAGAAAAGAACCTTGGTTAGCATCAAAACGAGTGGGTTTGGACATATACTGCACTAATATATGCTCCATTATTCTAATCAGGAACCTACTGTCAAAGGAGTTTGTAGATCCTTCCATGGTCATCTCAGTCCAACCGATATCAGGTGCATTAATGTCCCCTATTATCAAGTATCTGGTATTTGCACTCCAAAGATGAATCTGCTCAAAAATAAAGTCATCAGCTAAGCCAATTAGGTTGCGATAGATGAAACTGAGCAGAAATGTACTACATATGATAGCCAATTTACAGATAATAACTTCACAAGCAACCCTATCATGGGATTCGCTAGTAGAGGAGCGAATATGTATATTATTGGCTATATATAACAGGACACCACCTCCTTTTCTACATCCATGTCTATCACTCCTTAGGTAATGGTGTACGAATGACTCTGGAGTAATGTCTTAGTCATGAACTAACCAAGTTTCTGTCACTGCTATAATGAGTGACCTTAATCTGTTCACTAATGCCTCTAGTTCATAGAACTTATTTCTTATTCTACGAACGTTAGCATATAAAACTTCTAGGTTGAACAGCCTATCCACACAAGCCTTGCTAGCATTCTCTTCCAAAACCTGACTATCCGAAACCCACTAGCCGGAGGTTTTCTCCGCCGTTTTGCCGACGGGTTTCTAGTTAAGCTAGTGCTTTCTTCCTCTTTATTCTATCTTCGAGAGACATATCAGGTCTAACTCGGATGTCAGAATTGTCGTGACAACGAGCGCTACTTAACAAGAGATCCCGTTGCTTCTCTGATCCTGGGATTACCTTATGGAGTTTGCATGGTCAGGGCTTAACATTGTCCTCGGTCCTCTTGTCTATTCTAATGCGTTTCTTGACCTGAACGCCTTTGGAGTTATCTGGTAAGGTACTGCGAATATATTCTCCCAGCTTCTCTAAGTCATCTGCTTGTCTCATTTTGGGATCAGGGTCGTTTGACTCCAGCAATTTGCTCACAATAATATTCGATGATATTAGATCTGTAGAATTATGGCCTACTATGATATCATTATTGCGTTAATAATAGACCTAATCCTAAAATTGTAAACTTGTCTTGATATAACTGCCTAATCTATAATATCTTACGTGAAAGTCACATTGTCGTCTACACTAACTCATTGCATCGTGACAATCACCAATACATGATGGAGAACAAGCGTAGGCTAGAGATATAACAATATATTTAATGTGAACAAAAGATATAAGGTAACATTCGACAGGGACCACGCCTGCAAGGCCGAGTTATGCCATTCGACCAACTCCAATTAATTCAACTCCTTGTTCCTGCCTTCTCCATCATAAGTGTTTCTCCGCGTTAAATTTTGAATATCTACTTTCCCGATTGTCTCGTGTTCAGCTTTGAGGATTGTGTGGTTATGGTTCAATGCCACTACAGATTCTCCTTCTCAGTCATGCCAGAGTGGGTTTCTCTCTTACTATCAGATTCTGGTAGTGCATTTTGTGACTCACAATGAGAGTGCAACAATGACTGGCTAACCAGCTGCGTGCTGCCTGCAGGATCCAAACTACGGTTTGGATGTTGAAGAATAGCCAACCAAAGATTTTAGACACGCGCCCCTTCCCGTCGAAATCAGAACAAGTAATCGGGTAAATAGCGGTTCTATAATTCATAATAAATTTAATGTAAATCATTACCTAAACAAATATTATCACCCGGCTATTCAACCAATGATTGTTCAATCAATTAAATCTAAATTACAACAAATCAACGTTATTCTATCCTGGCTGGATAGATCACACACAACAGGAGGAACAAATCAATATGGCTACCGCCAAGAACAAGTGTCAAGTAAAACAACACAGATGCAGTTCAGGAAGAAACACAAACTTAGTGAATGCGTAAGAAAAACAAAAACTATAATAAAAGTACAAGTATTAACAACTCAAATGTAATCAAAATACAACAATGTACAACTAAGGGAATCAATAGGAACAAAGTACAAGTATATACATGGAGGGATTTTCACCAACACATAAAACCTTCAAAATGGATCTTACACCGGCCCCCAAAATCCCTCCATACCACACAAGCTACCTTGATGCCTACGGTCATGGTTCATTATATAACATATCACACCATAGGAACGAGTAGGACTTACAACAGTACGCCTACTCGACCTAACTGCATTAATAACAACAAAGACTAATCCAAAGCTTCAAGGAGACCTGCTTCACCTGTTCTCTGGTGGTCAACGATAACAGTCGTGATATAGACCTAATCGCTCTTCCCCAAACTCCACCCATGCTGTTGGATGAGTGTCTCACTGACAATTCAATGTTTATCTTCTGACTCGACTGCTGCACAAACTTGCTTAACTCAGAAACTGTCACCACGAAGCTTGATGCACTGTCACTGTAAATCTCCGGATGTTTCCTTCTTCTTCCAA